CAAGGTTAACTGGTATATTAAACTTTTCCCAAATCCCGTAGGAAGAAGGACAATAACGTCTTTCGCCTCTTTGTTCCGGCTTTAAATCCTCGATCTCGGGAACATGGATCTATTAAAATAACTGGAAGTGTTGCTGCTTGTAGTTGCCTCCAGTTGTGGGGACCTACAACTTTCAGAAATGTTGGACTTGTTGGCGATTTTTACTTATTTTTAGATCATAAACTTTTTCTCAGCTCAAAACCCTTCAGCTCCCACCTTCTTTATAATCGTTCGCTCCAGCGCCGCTCTGCTCCTTTCCCTCTGACTGGTCAAAGCGATCACGTGATACATGAGGCCGTGCTCCGTGTGCATGCTCGGTCCGACCAGAACCACCGGAAGAACCTCGCTGGGCTAAAGGCGAATCTGGAGTCATGAGACATTGAGCTCAGCCCATTGACTTGAAGGGATTTTGAGACTTGCTCGGGACTCGTCGCCAACACAGAATATCTGTCTCTTCACTGATTGGCTGGTGCCCGAACTCGCACTTCCAGGGTTTTTGCGAATCGTCTAGTGCACAGGTGTCAAACATACGGCCCGGGGACCAGATCCGGCCCTCCAAGATCTTTAATGTGGCCCTCGACTTATTTTCTACTAAAATATTTTGATTATATTTTCTATTAAAATAGTGGTAATTTTCTGTGGTGTTTATCACAGCAGCGTCTCCAGTGTCTCTGTACGTGGCCCCTCCCACCAGAGCAGCACAAATGAAGACTTGTCTCTTTCCAAACGCTCTTAAAGGACGATCGTTTTGACTGTTGACCGTGACACCCTCATCAGAAAAATGTCCAACATGAGAAAAGTGGAGCCGAGTGCAGGATTTTACAACAAAAATTGACTTATTCCTATTTATAAACAAGTTAATGTTAAAACATTGTGTTGAAATTGCATTTTTCTTAAAGTTTCAGGTTGTTCATAATATTATAATATTTTGTAAAAGAAAGAATTAATCAATTTTTAAAAAATTGAATTTCCCTGCAAAAATATTTGAACTTATTGTTATTTTTAAGGTATATATGCCATGAGTTTTCTGATCCGGCCCCTTTAGGATCAAAGTAGGTTGGATACGGCCCCCAGACCAAAATGAGTTTGACACCCCTGGTCTAGTGTATTCTGATTTCTGACCTAGTCGCTGGAGAGAAATGACTAGCTGGCACCAGCCTGGCTAAGAATTCTCTGCCTGTGGATTAAGACTTATGAAAATACATCTTGATACACTTAAAATAAGACAAACAAGACTTAATTCAAGCAAAGTTAGATTTTGTTTCTTATTTTAAGGAAACACACTTATAGATAGTTTTACTTGTCAAGTCAATCTACTCAAATAAAGTCAAATGTTCTTATTTTAATTTAGTTAGATATTGTTTTTTGAGTGTAATTTGTTTTTTGGTTATTTTTTCACAAACAGACTTTTTTCACATTTCCATTTGCTTCAGATTTCTTTCCGGTCATGTAGAAAGTTCTGCGGTAAAGGCACGACACGACACCATCCCAAACTGTGCCCTGGGGCTCTCACACTCACACACACTCACACACACACACACACACACACACACATAGACACTCACACACACACGTCAGCGAGAGTGAAGACCTTATGCAAAACCGGAGCCCCCACCCAGAACCAACAGCTGCAGGCACAGACCGTTGGGCCTTGAATCGATCTACGAGCACCGTCGAAACCTCAGATCTGCTCCTGATTCTCACAACTTCACCTGATCGAAATATTTAGTTAAACATTCAGTAAACATTTAGTTAAACATCTGACTTTCTCTTTTTTTAGGAGAGCTTTAGTGGAATTAGATAAACCTGCACATCTCTGACTCTTTATATCACAAGAACTTGAACGCAGATGAATCAACTTTTCAGAACATGTTATTATCGTTTCTCCTCACCATTTACTCACCCAAAGTTGTATTAAAATCGTAATAATCTCTTATTTTCAAGACGCCACTTCCTCTGTGCTACTTTGTTTTACGTTGTCCAGTTTTATTTGCGGCTCCATGTCTCTTCGTTGTGCTGATTTTTACGATGACGTCAGCTCTTTCTGGGCACCACTGATTCATTTTCGCACTTGTACTACTTGTTAGAGGTCTGCAAAAATATCCAAATATCAATATATCGTATCGTTTAATGTGATGATTCAGTATCGATATCGTGGGCTGCTGTATCGATATGTCACCAAGAGTATTTTTTGGTTTATTTTACTAAATTATTTTGTTACAGAGCCACAGTTTTGTTGTTTGTTTAGTGGAAGGAAACTCGTTTATGTGACACATTTGACATTTTCACTCTTTTGAGGATTAAAATGTTTGTGTTTCATATGAACTTTGCACAAGAAGTGGTTTAACAAAGACTTTTAGGATCACAGACATGATTTAGACTTTATTTTTTATTGAACCCTATCGAATCAATTTGAAATATATTGTAGTAAATCGAAAGTGCACTTTATCGAGGTATGTATCGTATCGGCAACTTCTTAATGATACCAGCTCTACTACTTGTAGTTACTAGAAGTTACTAGAAGTTTTTCAGATATTTACAGACTCGACTGTTTTATCACTAAAAGCAAAACAAAATCAAGTACAGTGTAGATTTTATTTATTTTTTATTTTTACTCTTTTAAAAACATGAAAAACAGAACTTGTTCCTTTTAAATTTCCAAAGTTCTTCCTCACTAATTTATGTATTCTGAGCATCCTAATTGTTCACCACGATGAGTTTATAAATGCCTTTCACAACTCTCCAGGGTGTCCAGAACCGAGTTTTGTCATGACGTTAAAGCAAACAACAACTATCAGTCAATAAAACACTTTATAATTAGATGTAGACAGAGCACAGGAGCTTTAATTTGGCGTCAAGAGCTGCTTATACAATAAATCTGTACTGGGGCATATCAGTTTTTGTACAAATACATGTAAAAAATCAAGTAGAGGAGCTTTAAACCTCAGCTCTCATTTGCATGTTTTGAGTTTTGAACATCACAATATTCGTATTATGGTCTAAGTAATTTCTTTTGTGGATCAATAAAGGTTGTCTAAGTGTAAGACGTTCATTATTAGATCACTAAATTAGTTGAGAATGATCTGAATAATTGATTAGTTGCGATGAATTTATGTAATATAATGTTTAATGTTTGTGTTTTGCGATTTTCAACCTTTCATCTTGTGTTTTTACTGAAGGGATCTTTAAGTCCCAGTGGTTAGAAATGTTCCAGATGGTTCCGTGTCATGTAAAGCACATCTGAGTCACACACACACACACACACACACGTGCTGTGTCCGTCCAGATGTCATGTGTCCGACAGGTGGAGAGGTCCATGAACGCGGCGGGACAAAGGCGGCCTTCTTCAGCCGTGTCCTGCCCAGAGAGCGACGCCTGGTGTGAGCAGAGCGCTGTGCTGAGGCCGCGGAACCGGAGAACACGGAACTGGAGGACGCAGAACCAGTGGAAACAGAACCAGAGGAAACAGAACCAGAACCAAAGGACGTGATACCAGAGGAAACAGAACCAGTGGAAACAGAACCAGAGGAAACAGTACCAGTGGCCACAGAACCTGAGGCCGCAGACGTGCAGAATTAGAGGCAGCAGAACCTGAGTCCACAGAACCGTAGAACCAGAGGGCACAGTACCAGAGGAAACAGTACCAGAGGAAACAAAACCAGTGTCCACAGAACCAGAGGCTGCAGAGGGCACAGAACCTGAGGAAATGGTACCAGAGGCTGCAGAACCAGAGAACGCAGAACTAGAGTAAACAGTACCAAAGGCCGTGGAACCAGAGGAAACAGAACCAATGGCCGTAGAACCTTGAGAACGCAGAACCAGAGTAAACAGTACCAAAGGCCGTGGAACCAGAGGACACAGAGCCAGAGAACGTAGAACCGGAGAACGCAGAACCAGAGGACATAACCAGAGTAAACAACACCAGGCCACAGAATCAGAAGCCGCAGAACCTTGAGAACAAAGAACCTCGAGAACGCAGAACCAGAAGACCAGTTCTTTTCCTTAGTATGAAAAGGACGGGGTTAAAAGAACTCTGAAGTGGTGCCAACTGTTTGTATTGTGAGAGTCGAGGAGGAAGAGGAAGAAGAAGAAGAGAAGAGGAAGAAGAGGAAGAGGGAGCTGTGTGCCTGGTGTCAGTAGAACATCCAGGTTCACAGGGCACCAAACGCTTTGTTGTTTTCTCTGGGATCAGGGGCAGATTTATGACCCCCTCCCCCTCCGCTCACTGTTCTGAGCCGCAGATTTACGGAGGGTCGTGCGGCCAACGTCATTGTCATGTATGAACTGACCACAGGCCTCCGGGTCACTGCTCCCAGGACGCTCTCCAGGAGGGGGCAGCTCATATCCCTCTGACGCTTTTAAGGAATATTTTATTGTCTTTAACCCGTCCTTCAAAACCGCCCGGGCAACCTGCGTGGAGCTCCCTGCACCCAGCTCCAGATGTTGAGCTCGGCTTGGTCAGAAAAACTAATGACGGGCAAATGAGTCGGAGCTCCGGAGCACGTCTCGTTCTTTCTGAAACAAATCGCTCCGAAGCACTGCCTCGGAGCTCGTCTCGCCGCCGCCGCCGCCGCTCACGTGACGATCTGTGTGTGTTAAATATGACTGTCTGTGAATTAATGTCAAAATATACCTGTGACCAAAATAAATAAATAAGTAATCAATCAATTAAGTCTCATATTTAGTCCTAAAAGTCTGATAAATTCTACACATGTAGGTGCCGTAAAATCATGGAAAATTCACTGCAGGTCGTGAAAAACTGATGGAAAAGTTTAGAAATGTTGAGTGGGAACCCTGAACGTTGATGCATTTGGAGGGGTTGGGTGTCAGATTAAAACTTTCGAGCAGACACAAGCAAAGTCTGTTTTCTTTTAAAAATGTAGTAATCTGATATAAAAAGACTCGTTTAAGAAAGGCCGTGTGAGGTCCTGACGCTAAAGTCTTGTTTGATGTGATTCCAGGCCAAGAGGAAGCTGGACCTGGAGGATCCTTCGTACCTGCCTGAGTTCCGCACTCCAAAGGGCAAAGGCATCGTCACCCGGATCTCCAGCCCCAGAAGTGAGAGAGACTTTTTATTGACTTTGGTGTTACAAATACTTCTCATTTATAGATTTTTTATTCAATTTGTGGAGTTTAAATGTCACTTATTGCCTCTAGTTCATATTTTAGCAGTCTTTTTGAACAGTGTATTTTTACTTTTTGTTTTCTTTTTAGACTATGAGGGAACATTTTGGACTCTGTTTTCCCATGAACTATTCTGTTAATGGGAAATCATTTATTTTAAGGGTCTATTGTTCGAGTCTAAAGTAGAAGTGATATTTCCTGATCCTTTAGTCACAATATCTACTTGTAGTCATAGTGTTGAAGTCTTTTATTTAGTTTTAGTTTTAGATGTAGGCCTGTCACAAAAAACAAATTTCAATGTGCAATACATCGAAGTAAACGATGAACGGTGAATACTTATTCCCCCCAAAAATTATTCCAACTATGCAGTATTGTTTAAAAAATACAAACTGCAATAAATAAATAGTTTGTTTGCGTCTATAATGAGTCATAGAAGTTCATAATTCAACTTCTAGAGCTCGAATCTCATCGTAACAACAAAATAACCCAAATATTTCCAGTTGTACAAAGAAAAACTACTCAAAATAAATGGAAAAATCACTTTTGGAGGTAATATTTAACAGTGAGCAGTAAGTCGATGTAGTAATTATCGTGACACCCAGATTGACAGAAATTATAACAATATATTTTAGTGTTTGAACTCGGCTCTGTGCCTCCAGTGTGCGGTTTCCCACAGCTGTGGCGGTGACTCATCGTGTGCACGTGTGTGTTTCTCTCTCCAGCCCCGAAGTCTCCAGGCGAGAGGACGAGGTACGACACGTCCCTGGGCCTCCTCACCAAAAAGTTTGTGAACCTGATCGCCGAGAGTCCCGACGGAGTCCTGGACCTGAACTGGGCCACGGAAGTCCTGGAGGTCCAGAAGAGACGCATCTACGACATCACCAACGTCTTGGAGGGAGTGCAGCTCATCCGCAAGAAGTCCAAGAACAACATCCAGTGGCTGTGAGTGCTCAGAGATCAGGGTCAGGGAGGACAAGTCACGCTCCAGTCTCTAATTAATTATATATCTATGTGAATTATTCAGTAAATAGAATATCTTCTGCAAAGAGCAAAATATCCTGTCTTTTCATATAAAAATCCACCAGTAAAATTTCAAACTAGATTTTGATACTAAGGAACAGACTCCATAGTTAATACTTATTCCAGTAACACTCTTTATTTAGACAATATAAAGTGATTTTCAACCTTAAATAGTAGATCTTTCTTTTCTGTTCCCATGTGGTCTTATATCTGTGAAATCCCTCAGTCGTCCACTAGACCCTTTACTTGTTCATGGGGGTTTGTTCCACGTGTTCTGATTATAGTCTGTATAAAGACGTGGATACACCAGTGTGACGTCACCACAGTGTTCAGCTTCAGTCAGATGAAGCTCGTGATGTTCACCGTCACAGGAGCCAAACTCCTTATGAGGAACAGGATTTTTGGTAACACTTTATAATAACTACACCTTATTTAGCCTTAATAAAGCATGAACAAAGACTTAATTAATAATGATTCACACTTAGTAACTACTTAATTACTATCCTGAATTAGCACTTAATTCACCTGTGCTGTAAATAGTTACTCATAAGTATTTCTTACTCATGAACAAACCATTTGTGTGTGCATTTGTAAATGTATATTTAAGTCCAAATTTGAGCATTTATTAATCATTAGTAAGCCATGAGAGAATGATTTACTAATAACACAATACAATGATGATTCAGGCAGCTGTTATCTGTTAGTTAAATCTTTCTGAGAGTTTTTCTAAAGTGAAGACGAATTATGCTTTATTAAGCATTTGTTAAGGTTTGGTCAAATTCCAGAGAAACAATAATGCATGACTAGTAAATCATTCTCTCATGGCTTATTAATGATTAATAAATGCTCAAATGTGTACTTAAATATACATTTACAAATGCACATGCAAATGGTTAGTTCATGAGTAATTAAGTAAGAAATACTTATGAGTAACTATTTACAGCACAGGCGAATTAAGTGCAAGTTAAGTGCTAATTCAGGTAGTAATTAAGTAGTTACTAAGCGTGAATCATTATTAATTAAGTCTTTGTTCATGCTTTATTAAGGCTAAATAAGGTGTAGTTATTATAAAATGTTACCGGATTTTTTAATGGACAAAATAGCAAAATAAAAACACCAGGATCATGTAGCACAGGTTCATACGAACATTTTAAGACCAAATTGTGGAGGCTCACAGCAGCAGGTACAGACAGAGGAGCCACAATATTCCAACATAAGTCACTAGGAGCCAGATTCAGAAGGAGCCGGAAGCTTCTCCATGTGAACTTCCTGTTTGGAAGCTGAGTTTAACTGTGTCCAAATACAGTCTGTGGTTCTGCTACAGCTCAAGATTATTCTTAAAATATTCAGATTTACAGAGAGAGGAAGTGAAAGGAGCTCAAACGAGTCAAGTCCAAGTCCGAGGTCCATGAGTCCTGTTCCCTGAGTCTTGTCATATTTTATACAAAACAGAAGCAGTTTAGTTTTAGTTATTACCTTAAGACTTTCTGTATTTGGAAACTTCAAATTCATGGTAATATGTCATGCATTTTCATAGTTTCTTATTGTTTTATCTTGAATCTAGTTTAGTTTTAGTTTTGGATTTGAATCAGTATCAAAAAGTAGAATAAAAATCAGATGAACCTGTATCAATACTTAAGTAAAAAAAAGTAGAACTGAACTGAAGAACTGAAGAAGCAGCTTGGACGACCTGCAAATCGTCTTCAACCAAACTAACTTTTGTCCAGTCGACAAACTGAATTTTCTCCTCGCCTAAAGTAAAAAAGTACCTGAGTAGAATGATCTTGGATCTAGTTCTAGATCTTGGTCATTTTTGCAAATAAGGTGTTCTCAGTTGACTTAACTGGTAAAATATTGAATAAATAAATAAAAATAAACATCTGGACCACATGGGAGTATTTTTATAAGTACAGCTGTTTTGTGTTAAATTTGACACTCGATGTTTATTTATTACTGACTCAGCTTTTAGTATTTTTGTCTTTTTTTTTTTAACTTTATTTTTATTAGGACATTTTAGTTATGTATATCACATATCACATGTATTTACATACACAAATTATTAGTATTGTGAAACAGAATAAATCAACAGACTGACTAAAAAAAGGAAAAAAGAAATAAAAAATAAAATAGGAGGCCGTCAAGCTAGTGACATCTGCAAAGATGTATAAACATTTGTTTCGATTGTAAGATTTCCACTTTTTCCAGTACAATTCTCCTTTATCTGAGGAGTGTCTTAAAGAAAATGTTATTCGTTCCATAATCTTTTGGTTTTGGGGTTTGACATTTGCATTAAAATGAGGCCTCAGCTGGAGATAAATAAAAAACTCATCTTTCTCCAATCTGAATTTATCTGTTAATTGTTGGAAGCTTTTTATTTCCCCGTTGGTTATTATTTTCCAATATGCAGTGATACCTTTATTGCACCAGTATTGGAATTTGTTATCAGCCTTTACTATTAAAATCAAGTTAAACACTAAACACCGCAACGTGCTCCCAGCTGAGGAGTGCAACAGCAGCTCCCCCTTGTGGCGTCTTGGGGAAAGACACGCAGTCATTTTTTTGTTACTGGTCTGGTAAACTGATGCGTTCCCTTTTTTCTTATTAATTCCAGTTTACTTTGTCACAAAAAAGTCAAAAAGTAAAAGCACAAAAGTTGATCCTGATCATTTCTAGAGACAAACTCCTAGACTTACTACATTAGAACAAAAATATGTTCCCCCCACCTTTTCTACCTTTCTCAGGTTTCTCTACCATGATGATAATAAACACTATTTTGACAATATTATGTGTTTTTCAATATTAAATGGTTGTACTTTCTTTTCTGTTTCTCATGTGGCCTTATATCTGTGTGATCCCTCAGAGGTCCAGGTCCAAACCAGGACTAAACCAGGTCTAAACCACGTCTAAACCAGGTCCAAACCAGGTCTAAACCACGTCTAAACCAGGACTAAACCATATCTAAACTAGGTCTAAACCAGGTCCAAACCAGGCCTAAACCAGGTCTAAACCAGGTCTAAACCAGGTCTAAACTAGGTCTAAACCAAGTCTAAACCAGGTCTAAACCAGGTCTAAACCACGTCTAAACTAGGACTAAACCAGGTCTAAAACCAGGACTAAAACCAGGTCTAAACCAGGTCTAAACCAGGTCTAAACTAGGTCTAAACCAGGACTAAACCAGGTCTAAAAAAGGTGTGAACCAGGACTAAACCAGGTCTAAACCAGGTCTAAAAAAGGTGTAAACCAGGACTAAACCAGGTCTAAAAAAGGTGTAAACCAGGTCTAAACCAGGACTAAACCAGGTCTAAACCAGGTCTAAACCAGGTCTAAACTAGGGCCAAACCAGGTCTAAATCAGGTCCAAATCACGCCTAAACCAGGTCTAAACCAGGTCTAAACCAGGTCTAAACCAGGACTAAACCAGATCTAAACCAGGTCTAAACCAGGTCCAAATCACGCCTAAACCAGGTCTAAACCAGGTCTAAACCAGGTCTAAACCAGGTCTAAACCAGGTCTAAACCAGGTCTAAACCAGGTCCATGGGTTTAACTCTCGTCTCTGTGCTCTTATTCTTGTTCTGGTGCAGCTCCAGATCGTTCTAAACACGTTCAGGAAAGGTTCTGTGCACTATAAACAGAGTGACGTCCGTGTTGTGATGTTGTGCTTCGTGTTTTTCAGTGTCGGTGACGTGTTCGAGGGCGGCGCCGGCGGAGGGCAGAAGGCCGGCGCTCTGAGGAAGGAGCTGTGTGAGCTGGAGAGAGCGGAGAGAAACCTGGACGACCTGATCCAGTCCAGCACGACACAACTCAAACAGCTGACCGACGACCACAGCAGCCAGAGATATCCTTTACTCCGCTTCTACAAACAGTCACCCATACGTGTCAGTCGATTATTCGTTTTTCAAAATAAAACTAAAAATAAGAAAATGAAAAAATCAACTCTTTTCTTCATTATTTGTCTCCAAAACCAAAAAACAGATAATGGTTTGTTTTTTCAGGTTTTGATTTTGCGTTTAAATGAAAAATGGACAAAACGGATAACGGACTAAACCAGGACTGAACCAGGACTAAACTGGTCTCGGTCCTGGTCTCAGTCCTGCTCGTAGTCCCTGTGTCCATCTCGGCCTCAATCTTGGTCTGGTCCCGGTCTCAGTTTTGGTCTGGTCCCGGACTAAATCTTGGTCTGGTCCCGGTCTCAGTCTTGGTCTGGTGTCTCAGTCTTGGTCTGGTCCCGGTCTGGTCCCGGTCTCAATCTTGGTCTAGTCCCGATCTGGTCCCTGTCTCAGTCTTGGTCTGGTCCCGGTCTCAATCTTGGTCTGGTCCCAGTCTGGTCTTGGTCTAAATATTGGTCTGGTCCCGGTCTCAGTCTTGGTCTAAATCTTGGTCTGGTCCCGGTCTCAGTCTTGGTCTGGTGTCTCAGTCTTGGTCTGGTCCCGGTCTGGTCCCGGTCTCAATCTTGGTCTAGTCCCGATCTGGTCCCTGTCTCAGTCTTGGTCTGGTCCCGGTCTCAATCTTGGTCTGGTCCCAGTCTGGTCTTGGTCTAAATACTGGTCTGGTCCCGGTCTCAGTCTTGGTCTAAATCTTGGTCTGGTCCCGGTCTCAGTCTTGGTCTGGTCCCGGTCTCAGTCTTGGTCTGATCCTGGTCTTGGTCTCGGTCTTAGTCCCTGTCTTAGTCCCTGTCTCAGTCCCGATCTCACTCCTGGTCCTGGTCCCAGTCCTGATCACCCAACAGTCCACTCCAGACCCGACCCAACACTCAGTCCTGGCTTAGTCCTGACCTGGTTTAGACCTGGTTTAGACCCGGTTTAGACCTGGTTCAGTCCTGGTTCAGTCCTTTATCCATTTTTTTCCATTTTTCATTTAAACAAAAAATCGAAAACTGAAAAAAATGAATCATTATGTTTTTTAATTTTGGTTTTAGAGACAAATAATGAAGAAAATAGTTGTTTTTAAATGTTCTTATTTTTGGTTTTATTTTGAAAAACGAATGAACGAACGACACACAGATTATTCACCAATACACGTTCACCTTCTGCTTTTTTTAGATGAAGCGCTGGGGTTTATATGACTCTAAGATTTACTGTTTCTAAAAGATTTAACCAAACTAATGATCCACAAATGTTGAACCATTCGATTGCCTCAGTTATTTTGAGTTGATGAATTTAAAAGTCTCATATTTACAGTTAATATGATGAAACAAGAGGAGAACTCTGAATGTGCAGGGTTTGTGCGTTTCACGTGTGAATGAAACAAAACACAAGTCCAGGTCTGTTTGTGAGGAAGTCCGTGTATATCCTCTGTGTCTGTTTGTTTGTTTGTTTGTTTTGGCCTTAACCCTTCACACGTTGGGTTATGTGACGTACCAGGACCTGCGCTCCATCTCCAGCCTCAGGGAGCAGACGGTGATCGCGGTCAAAGCTCCTGCAGAGACCAAACTGGAGGTGCCCGACGCTCCGGGGGTAAGACCAACGACGGGCGCAAAAACACAAACACAAACACAGACACGGACCAATGAGGTGTACAAGCTGGAATCTTAATCTTTTTATCATAAACATGATAAGGGGTTGTACTTACATGGTCCAATCCCACTCGTAACTACAGAGCTCTTTTTCATATCTATTAGGGACGGGCATTCGATGAAATTTTCTTAATCGATCGTCGGAAGAATTAACGATCAATTAAATAGTAAAAAAACTATGCAGAATGAAAAAAAAGCAAAACACGTTCTTATTTTAGTCCTAAAAAGTTACATTCTGTGGCTTAACGCTATAAAACATAAAGACGTAACTATGATAACAGGATGTAGGTGAGATAGAAACTGTTTCTCGCAGCACAAAGTCGTTGAGTGTCCGTGTGTGTTTCTCCTCAGCAGAGCAGTTTACAGATCTACCTGAAGAGCACCAACGGGCCCATCGAGGTTTACCTGTGCCCCGAGGAGGGACTGGAGGAGGCCAGCCCCGTGAAGGGAGGCCTCACCCCGAAGAAAGAGTTCCCCGCTCCCCTGGGACCCCCCACCATCCCGGCCACCTCCACACACGACTACTGCAGCCGCCCGGAGCCCGGCCACGGTGAGACCGATCTGTCCTACAAAGACCAAAGACTTTAACTCTCTTGTGTGTGAAACTGAGGAAAAAATGACTTCAAAGTTTCTGTTTTGTCCAGACTAAAGTAGAATATTCAGAGCTCCCAAAATTTGACAACTCGTCGCTATAATGAAGAAATATTTGTATGTGAAAAATACTGACCATTTTTCATTTCAGTTCAACTCAAGTTTATTTCTATAGCACATTTAAAACAACTTCAGCTCGCCAAAGTGCTTCACATACAAGTCAACAAAACAGAAGAAGCAGTTACAAATGCATATATACAGAAAACATGTGGAAAATACTATAAAAACCCCCAAATAACCTGACGAGCTCGTACTAAACACCAGGGAGAAGAGGTGAGTTTTCAGTCTCGTCTTAAAGGTTGTATGGAGGATTTATTTAATTTTTTTTTCAAGTTGTCAATGATAGCATTATAGAGGTGCAGTAGCCTTGTAATTATGATGACCAAAAAAAGAGAATAAAAATTCATCAACTCTGGACGTGGTGGGGCTAAACATTTGCCAATAGATAACGACACTGCCTCGTTATCTGTGAGCTGACAGGCTGTCAATCAAACTCCCTACGTTTCTAGTGTAACTGACTTGCCTGCGCCGCCGTTACGTGGTTTACGTACGACACAGACGCTGTTTACTCCACCAACGCAACAGTTCTTAGCGTCTTTTTTTGACCTATATCTTCCTCGCAGTTCGCACAAAGTTTGTTGCGATGGCGACAAGAATCCAGGAGCAGTTCGCCGCAAAAGAAAGTCAATTTTTTGAGGTCGCTGAAAGAAGAAGACAAGGGGAAAAGCAGCGAAGCCAAACTAAGGTGATTCTTGAAGATTCATTCCAGCGATGGTGCGACTGAAGCAGACGAAGAGTCTAAAGACTGACGCACTGGTCCACAAATTACTCCTGGACAGGAAACTTCTGCTTATTATGAAAACGTACTTTATTTCCAAGAGTTAGACAAATGTTTTTCAGGACACGAAAGCGATATCCTATGTCTGAAAACGTAATTTTCAAGGCAAAGAAAGAGTCCGCTTGCTGCTGCGTGTTGCAGCTAGTTCATTCGCACTGAATCTCCGCACACTCTTCTCTGCACCCCTTTCCTGCTCCTGTCCCCGCTGCCCGATCCGCTCTTCCCCCTGCTCCTCACTTCTCCGGGCACGGAATCTCCGCGCCCCCGCTCCCCTCTCCTCTCTCCCTGCTCCACTCTTCTCCCTGCTCCTCACTTCTCGTCCGCGAACGAAATGTCCGCACACCCCCTCCCCCCGCTCCTCTCTTCTCCGTCTTGCCTAACCAACACTGTAGTTAGTTGTTTACAAGTCATGTGCAGCACCGGCTGTAAACAAACCTGTTTCTGGCGTAAAGAGGAGGCGGGAGGAGGTGTTTCTACGTAGGAGCTGTAGGGGAGGGGGGGTGGTTTCACGCATGCGCAACATTTGAAAAAGGACAAACAGTCGCTGGATTTCTCATTCCTTGGAAAATCCTCTATACAACCTTTAAACTGCTTTACAGACTGAGACGATCTGACAGCAAGAGGAAGGTTGTCCCACAGTTTTCTGGGCGCTGCCACAGAAAAAGCCTCTGTCACCTCTCGTCTTGAGCCGAGTTTTGGGCTCGACCAACAGGAGCTGGTCTGGTCTCAGGGCTCTGGGCGGAGGACGGAGCTGCAGTAACTCCCTCAAACAGACTGGACCCATAGAGCGACTCTTATTTGTCAGATCCTGTTCTCTGACTTTGCATCATGAGACAAAAATAAGTTTTCGTGCAAAGACAAAAAGCAGAAACTGACACGATCATTATTTGTTTTGACTTTGACTTGTATTTATTCATGCTGTACATACTACACCGCAAATACTTTCACATTAGAGATAATTGAAGTATAATTGAACACAAAGGTTTATTTATTTAATGTGTTGAGACTCTGTGCCAAGGCTGCAACAAAAAGAAGGAGGCGAGAGGTTGGATTTTTAAATAAATTTATGAACTAAATCACAAACAAAACATACACTGTTACTGCCTTTTGTCTTTGCACGAAAACTTATTAGAGCACAGGAACTGACAAATAAGGTCAAAGATCAATTTTGAGCTCAGTATTTGTCGTAATATTTCTGCACATGATAAAGGAGCTCTCAAATACAAACAAAATGACACGACATGAACTCATCTTTGACCAAACATCGTGTTAGATCAGGGTTGTCAAGCTCATTTTGGTCCGGGAGCCGTATCCAACTCAAAGGGGCTGGAAAAAAAAATTGCATATAAACCCCAAAAATAACAATCAGTTCAAATATTTGTGCAGAGAAACACAAATCTATTACAGAAATCTTTTTTAACTGATGAACTCTTTCTTTTACAAAATCTTATAATATTATGAACAACCTGAAACTTTAAGAAAAATGCAATTTCAACACAACATTTTAAAAATAACTTGTATGTAAATAGGAATAAGTCCATTTTTGTTGTAAAATCCTGCACTCGGCTCCACTTTTCTCATGTTGGACATTTTTCTGATGAGGGTGTCACGGTCAACAGTCAAAACGATCGTCCTTTAAGAGCGTTTGGAAAGAGACAAGTCTTCATTTGTGCTGCTCTGGTGGGAGGGGCCACGTACAGAGACGCTGGAGACGCTGCTGTGATAAACACCACAGAAAATTAACAAGATTTTAATAGAAAATATAATTCAAATATTTTAGTAGAAAATCAGCCGAGGGCCAGATTAAAGGTCTTGGAGGGCCGGATCTGGCCCCCGGGCCGTATGTTTGACACCCTTGTGTTACGGCGTTCTGCTTTTGTAGGGCAGTGCTCTGGTTTGTGTTTTAGAAGAGTCTATTGTTTATTTTTTCCTTTTGAAAAAGTGAGTCCTGATGATGGTTTCTGTATGTTGAGAGGTTTTTGAAGAGATCTGATCACAGTTTAAAAATAAACTTGCATAAATAATCAATACAGGGAAATAAATCATGATTATTTCTTGTCGTCTTGTAGCTCCGCCCTAATTATAACCTTCCCATTTCACGCCTGGTCAAACAAAGACTGTCTTGTGTGTTTGTGGGTGTGACTGATGATCTTGGGACTGGTTTTGCTCGTTGGTTTGACTCGATGACTGATTGGATTGATAAACTTGGACAGTTTGCGTTGTATTTTATTTTATTTACATGTACGACATTTATGAGTTCAGTCTGTCCAGGTTCACGTCTTTGTGTAGCTCAGTGTTTTTTGTGCGTTGTCCCTGATAAATAAACTAAACTAAACTGAGCGTTGTCGTCCCCCACAGCGAGCTCGTCCGCCGCGCCCCCGTCTCTGCTGGACGTGGAGGGTCTTCTGGGTTTACCCCCCAGTCTGCTGCAGATGACGGAGGACCAGCTGCCCGGCGCCGCCCTCGCCCCCTTCGTCAGCTTCTCTCCGCCTCTGGACCACGACGACTACCTGTGGAGCCTGGAGGAGCACGAGGGCGTGTCCGACTTCTTCGACTCCTACGACCTGGGCGACCTGCTCAAGAGCTGAACCCCAAAACCAAACCTCCTCTGCAGCTGAACTCTGAGTGTGGAGTCGTTTCAAGCATCAAACTCGTGGAGATCTGTATTTTTGCAAGAAGGTGAAAATGACTTTTAAATTTACATATTTTAACATCGAACTTTCCTTAAGAAGCAGGAAAAATGCATTGGAATTATTCCTTCATTTCATGTTTTTTTATGCAAATGAGACATTTATTAGGTATTTTTGTACAATTAATTTTGTAGGTCGAAAATTTAGTTATTCAAAAAATCTAGGAAAAAAATGTAGGAATGAGAATCTGTGTGTCGTTTGTTCATTCGTTTTTCAATATAAAATCAAAAATAAGAAAATGAAAAGACAACTGTTTTCTTCATTATTTGTCTCCAAAACTAAAATTTAAAAAACAGATAATGATTTGTTTTTTCAGTTTTTGATTTTGTGTTTAAATGAAAAATGGAAAAAACGGATAACGACCGTTTCCCGTTTACGTGACTCTCATGACTGCGACGTCGGACTTTTGCGCCGCGTACGGACTGAACCAGGACTGATCCAGGTCCGGGATCAGACCAGGACCAGACCGGGACCAGACCAGGACCAGAGTGGGACTGAGACCAGGACCAGACCGGGACTGAGACCAGAACCATAGCAGACTCTGTGCTTTGACTTCGAGCCTCCGCAGGGTCCGAGCTCCGGCCCTGCCCTGGGCTCTGAGCCTCCAGACTGGTCCTGGTCTGGTCCCAGTCTGGTCTCAGTCTGGTCTTGGTCTGGTTTCGGTCTGGTCCCGGTCTGATCCTGGTCTGGTCTCGGTCTCAGTCCCGGTCTGATCCTGGTCTGGTCCCGGTCTGGTCCCAGTCTGATCCCGGTCTGGTCTCAGTCTCAGTCAAGCTCTGATCCCAGTCTTGGTCCTGGTCTGGTCTCGGACTCAGTCCCGGTCTGATCCCGGTCTGGTCTCGGTCTCAGTCCCGGTCTGGTCCCGGTCTCGGTCTCGATGTCGGTCCCGGTCTGGTCCTGGCCTGGTCTGGGTCTCAGTCCCGCTTTGGTCCCTGCCTGGTCCCAGTCTGGTCTCGGTCTCAGTCCCGGTCTGATCCCGGTCTGATCCCGGTCTGATCCCGGTCTTGGTCCTGGTCTCGGTCTCGATCTCAGTCCCAGTCTGGTCCTGGTCTCGGTCCTGGTCTTGGTCTCAGTCCCGGTCTGGTCCCGGTCTGGTCCGGTCTGGTCCCGGTCTGGTCCTGGTCTGGTCCGGGACCTGGATCAGTCCTGGTTCAGTCCAACATCACAGTCAGGAGAGTCACGTAAACAAACGCCACGTCACCGTTTTTTCTCCATTCTTCATTTAAACACAAAACCAAAAACTGAAAAAAACTCATCATGATCTGTTTTTTTTTTTTAATTTTGTTTTTGGACACAAATAACAAAGAAATCAGTTGTTTATTCATTTTCTTATTTTTGGTTTTATATTGAAAAACAAACGACACGCGGGTTAATTAATGACGTTTCCTTCAGGAGCCGTTCTTCAGTAGATTGTTGTACAAGAGCGAGTATTTTCCTCTTTAATTATTTTTGTACTTAAATGTACAAAGTTGAAAATCTAAACACCTTCCATATCGGAGTTTGGACGAGGGCCGATAAACTATTTTACAGATTATTTTGTAAAGAGAAGCTCAGTTGCCTTCACACACTAAAGCCATGTTTGTTTCTCCTGTGAATATTTGTACATAGATTTGAAGATCGTTGTAGAATTGGGATTTGTGTTTAGATTTGCTCAGACTGTTAAATTATTATTCTTTTATATAAACTGCGAGGATTTTCAGCAGGAGTTTTAATACGAGCAGTTCTTCTTTGAGCCAGCAGGGGGCGGTCGTGTATAATTCAGCTTTAACGGGCTCAGGGTTTTTCTTCTTCATCGTCGATTGAACCGAACTGTGACGTGTTTTTGAGGAGAAAAATAATCCGTTTTTGAGCGGACGCCTCGTGATCGCGCACAGACCGAAAAGGAGCGACTTAAAGCTGCACTACGGAACTTTTCTTATTCTGAATCAATGAGTGAGTGCTCCAAAACCAGTGTCGGGAAGGTGACTTTTAAAATGTAATCCCCTACAGATTACAGATTACACACACCAAAATGTAGTTTGTAACAGAATCCATTAAATTACTTAAAGTGAGTAATGTAATCTGATTACTTTGGATTACTTGATTTGCTGTAGAGAAACAAAGACGAGGAAATCTTCACATAAGAAGTTTTGTTTGATAAAAGAAAATAAAAAGTCCAGATTTACTGAACCAAATTAAAAATATTATTGATAGAAGAAGAAGAAACACGTCCACACAGCAGGATTTAGTCCTGTTAAATCCTGTTTTAGACCTGGTTTAGACCTGGTTTAGACCTGGTTTAGTCCTGGTTTAGTCCTGGTTTAGTCCTGGTTTTAGTCCTGGTTTAGATCTAGTTTAGACCTGGTTTAGACCTGTTTTAGTCCTGGTTTAGTCCTGGTTTAGTCCTGGTTTAGTCCTGGTTTTAGACCTGGTTTAGATCCAGTTTAGACCTGGTTTTAGACCTGGTTTAGTCCTGGTTTTAGACCTGGTTTAGATCTAGTTTAGACCTACTTTAGACCCGGTTTTAGTCCTGGTTAAGTCCTGGTTTAGACCTGGTTTCAATCTAGTTTAGATCTAGTTTAGTCCTGGTTTAGTGGTTTAGTCCTGGTTTTAGACCTGGTTTAGATCTAGTTTAGACCTGGTTTTAGTCCTGGTTTAGTCCTGGTTAAGTCCTGGTTTAGACCTGGTTTCAATCTAGTTTAGATCTAGTTTAGACCTGGTTTTAGTCCTGGTTTATTTTCCAGCAATGAGTGGAATTACTCAAGAAAAAAAAAAAAAAAAAAGGGATTTAGCCCAAAATGTGAAAACAGGAAAATCCCTCTGTTTAATCCATTTACTTCCAACAAAGTAACTGTAATCCAATTCCCACTCACTGAAACAGTAACTGTAACCGAATACAGTTACTCATCATTTGTACTCTGATTACTCTGGTACATGTAATCTGTTACTCCCCGACACTGTCCACAATACGGCATTAAGTTTATTTATCTAAGTGCAGTTTTTCAGTTACAGATGTTTTCAGAAAACTTTTGAAATCGAAGAAACAAGTGACGTTTTCTACAGTTTTTACTATTTTTCTGTGAATCAAACTTGACTGAATTTGATCAAGGAGAGTTAGAATAAAACACGCGTCAAGAATCTCGGACTTCGGTCATCGCGCAAATTCATACTGCGAAGGATTTTTCCGGATGCGTCTATTGTCAAAGTCGATCTTTTCAAGTCTTTTGAACCATTTCACTTTTGTTTCTGGTTCTGATATTGTCGTATTTTAGTTTTGGGATTCGGACGTCGTTAATTGTTGTGGTTGTTGTTTGTTCTAACAGCTTAAAACGACTCGAGAAATTTGTTTGCGAACTTCATAAACGCAAAAGTGAATCAGATGTGTGTGACTCAAACCTCCGTTCAAACTGTTTCTCTTCCCAACGGAATTGAAAAATAGTGAAAGGTGAAGGTGATGGGCAGGATTGATCCACAGGAAGAACCAAAAAGGAAACATTTGTCTGACTAAATCATCCTGAGTTTACAGAGAACATTTTGTATGTGGAGCGACAACAAAACAAAATCCGGTTTGTTAATGTAGAGGAGCAGAAGACAAACAGACTGAGCTGCACTTTCTTGTTCTTGTGGTTTTACAGAAACATCACGTCTTGGTCTTTGCAGTGGAAGGTGTTTCTTGGTGAACAGTTGGAGTCTTTCACTTTGGCGTTGACTTTTTAAATTCGTAAACAAAGTTGAGCGACGGATCGGGATTTTGTTCTGTCGTCGCTCCACATACAAAATGTTCTCTGCAAATTTGGGATGATTCTTAGACAAACGTACCTGATTTTTACTATTTTAAAACTGTAAAACACTAAAAACACTAAAGCAAAATCTGGATCCCTCACTCAACCTCGGTTACAAATTTAGTTACGAGTTTGTCTTCTGCTCCTCTCGATTAACAAACGGGTTTTTGCTTTGATGGTTCTCCACATACAAAATGTTCTCTGCAGACAAATGTTTCCTTTTTGGTTCTTCCTGTGGATCAATCCTGCCCATCACCTTCACCTTTCACTATTTTTCAATTCCGTTGGGAAGAGAAACAGTTTGAACGGAGGTTTGAGTCACACACATCTGATTCACTTTTGCGTTTATGAAGTTCACAAACAAATTTCTCGAGTCGTTTTCCGCTGTTAGAACATCAACAACCACAACAATTAACGACGTCCGAATCCCAAAACTAAAATACGACAATATCAGAACCAGAAACAAAAGTGAAATGGTTCAAAAGACTCGAAAAGATCGACTTTGACAATAGACACGTCCCACTGGGAAAACAAACATGGAGGTTTGATTTGATTCTCACTTTTTTCGGAAAATCCTTCCCAGTATGAATTGCGCAAAGACCGGAACTCCGAGATTTTTGATGCTTCTGTCCAGCGTTGCCATCGAATAGACTTTGGTTTTTGAATCAACTGCTACAGACGCACACATTACAAACTTCTAATGTTTTTTAATAACTTATCTCAGTTTTTTCAAATGAACTAAGGGAAACACATTCTCTTTTGGTGCTAACTGTTTCGATTTGAAGCTTTCTACACATTTTTTACGGAATAATGTCCAAAAATGTGACTGGACCACACTTCCCCGGGTCCTGAAACCTCAGTCTGACCTCTGAGCCTGGTCCCTGTGACTCACCGGCAGCTTCTGTCTTTGTCTCTCTACAATCGTGTTTTATATTTTTTTGTCGAACATGGAACTGATTTTGTATTTCCAACAATGAGCAGAAAGTCTTAAAGGTTTTAAATCGCGCAAAACCGATTCTTCTGAGTTTTTAGACGGGTTTTAATGTCGTTCCCTCGTCGAAAACAAACCTGGACTTGTGTTTTGTTTCAGATGTTTGAGTAACTCTTTATTATTATTCTGTTTACGTCTCCAGATCCTCTGTTCCATGTTTTGTTGCTTTCGTTTTTCGCGTGATTTTCTATTCGAGTTTCGCTCTTCCTCAACTCCCAGGATCATTTTCTACGACGGAGTACAAGGGTCAGATAAACAAAAATGATGCTGGCGCGACGAGAATAAAGTCAATAATTTTACAGAAATAAAGTCGCAATTTTACAAGAATAAAGTCAAAGTCAAAATAAAGTTGTAATATTATGAGAATAAAGTCGTAATATTATGGAAAAATTATAAACTCAAAGTCAAAGTGAAAAATGCGGCAGAAGAAGTTTAATCCGTGTGTCGTTCGTTCATTCGTTTTTCAATATAAAACCAAAAATAAGAAAATGAAAAAACAACAATTTTCTTCATTTGCGCCTCCGGACTGAACCAGGACTAAACCAGGTCCGGGACTAAGACCAGGATGTAGTCTGGGACCAAGACTGAGACCGGGATCAGACCAGAACTGAGACCAGGATTGAGACGACCAGGACT